TAAAAGAATGTGAGAGTGATTATGGATCGTATAAACATCATTTTTTACCGATATTCGGTGTTCCTATGTGTTCACTACAAGTGGTACTAAAGACATCAAAACGGGTACGAATAGAAAGAAAATGTGGTACTACTATACTCTAGGTCTGATACTACTTATTGTAATGTTGACCACAATTGAAATAATCTAATTTTTGTTGACCAAAGGTAGGTACGAATTGACCAATATCTAGTACGAAAAAGAAGAAGAATTGGTATCATTCGATGTAAAACTAGTACTCCTTTAAAAAATCATTTTTTCTTTTTCGTGGGAGTTGGTACTAAATACCCGATACCTTTTACTAGAACAACACAATATCGACACTATCTTACTCTAGCTTTGGTACTAAGTTTGAAAATGTTGACCAAAATTGAAGTAGTCCATTATTTTTTGTTCTTTCTACAATGCAGGTACTAATTCATCAATAACTGGTACTGTGTAGAAGAAGAAGTGGTATTATTCGAGGTAAAATCGGTACTCTTTTACAAAAATTGTTATTTTTTATTGGTACTAAATACCTGATACCTTTTACTAGAACAACATAATATTGACACTATCTTACTCTAACTCTGGTACTGATTTTGAAATATTTGACCAAAATTGAAATAATCCATTATTTTTTCTTCTTTCTACAATGCAGGTACAAATTCATCAAAAACTGGTACTGCATAGAAGAAGTACTGGTATTATTTATAGCTAAACCGGTACTGTTTTACAGAAATGAGGTTCTGCCAAACATCAGACAAGTCAACCCAATATCCAAAACCAAACATCAGACAATCTATTGTTCACAGCCAAACAACACACAAGCCAACCCAAAATTCACAGTCAATTTCTTCACAGCCAACATACAAACATATTGTTTAAAGTATAATCCAAACATCATCCAAAAAACAGTCAACATGGAGGATTTCTTAGGACACGTGCTGCCATGCGTGCTCGATAGCCGTCAATCGAACAACTACTTTGGTCCTTCGAGAATTCATCCGAATCGACGAGGTAGCACTCCATATCCATGCATATGTGCACTCCACAATCCTTCACGCCCGTCTGCTGCCTGAGGTATCCAAACTGAATACCCTTTTCAATGGCCCATTCAAACTTCAAATACATATAACTTGCTATGAACTTGGCCTACACATAAAAAAAAAGGAAAAAACAACAAAATACGTTTATTTGAAAGAAAATCATCAATACAAAACAAAGTTTTATATGTTATAATAACACTTACCAAGCTCTTCCCAATCCCTCGATAAATCGGAGTGTCCATCGAGTTGTGGTACACAATCTTCTTTTCTTGAAATTTAAGGACAAGTAAGAAGAAGTGAAACTTCTGCAGCATGGGAAGGAAAACATACTTGGCACCATTCAAGGACATCAGCACCTCGTCAATAATGGCAACAACACTTTTGTTAAGGCTAGAAATACACTTCTCATAATCCTCATATTTCCAAACAGTTCTTTTGTTAACTGTTTGGATTGCACTCACCAAATTAGTCTACAAATTCAATAACTTTTGTTAGCAAATTAACAATTAATAAATTTAATAGAGTATATTAAGATAAAGTACCTGAACATATGTCGGCAAAAATCGGACATGGGGATAGCAGCCACGCAGGATCGACATATAGCAATCAACGAGTTCAGAATTCAACTCGTTGCCGAACAAAAGATCAATCAATAATTTTCCTCGGACCACCACTCGGTCATTGCTCCACACGATTTTGCTACCAAAATTTGCAATTCTAATTAGGACAATATAACAGAAATGAAACAATCAAGAAACTGAAATAAAAATTTCTGTTACCTCAGGCGATCGCTCGTCAAGAATGATAAGATGGCTGCACGATCCTCTTCCTGCAAGGCCTCATCCTCATGGCCGTAGAAGTCTTTCCTCCCTCTAAACTCAATCAGAGGTGACTCATCAGGATCATTCTCGTCAATCTCCTACATTACAAAATAATTGGTTAGTTAAATGAAAACAACACGAACAATAACATAAATTACAACATCAATAACATAAATAAAATAGATAGTTTAATTACCACATCATCAGTAAACTGCAACTTTTTTTTTCTTTTGTCTTTTCGGACCGGATGACGGGGGGGTCATAAAATCCACCGGCTTTCCCTTTTTTTTCCTCCCTTTCCTCTCCCGCACCCTCTTCACCATGGAGGAGGCCTCTTGGTTCTCCTCTCCCGCCAAACCGGCCGACTCCACCACTATATCAACCAATTTGTTCAAATCAACAAAATCATTATTTTCATCATCAGCATTCCCCTTTCGGTCATCCTCAGCCTCCTCCTTTCGGTCATCCTCAACCTGATGCTCATACACCACCAAACCCCATTTTTCATCCTCTTTTTCCTCCATCTCTTTTTCCCCCCTCCTCCTCCCCCTCTTTTTCCTCCATTTCTTTTTTCCCCTCCTCCTTCTTCTCCTCTTTTTCCTCATTTTCTTCCTCCTCGTTCTCCTTCTCTTTTTCCTCACTCTCATTCGGCCCAAAACAGCCATCACCACACTCATCGACTTTTTCCTCATCATCTTTCTCTTTTTCTTTTTCTTCTTTCTTTTCTTTCCACTCGCTCTCCAACAGATCAATTTTTTTTCTCAGTTCTTCATTCTCTTGAAAAACCATGGCAAATAGATGGGTCTCCAACGTTGTTCCCCCCTGTACATGAAAGAAAAAAAATTAAACTAAAGGGAACATAAATTACAGCTACGTGCACCTATGAAAATATATTAATGGTGAAACATAAATTAATGTTGACCAAAATTAAAGAAAACCTGGGTCTCCACAAAAGCACGCTCAGCAACCACAGGCGATACCGAATACACCTGCAAAGCAAATCATAATGATTTAAGTACGATATCGATTAACCAAAAAGATAAAAGTAAGAAGTAGAAAACACATAATACTATAAAATTATATAAATTACCTTATGCCGCATTACTTTTTTAAGGTCTTGTAAAGACCCTTCAAATGTAGACGACATCGAGCTCCCCTTCCATCTAAATAGACGGGGAATCGTCTCGAGCGTGGACCGTTTGCCCAGAGAAGGCACACGCTCGTACAACCAAGCCTACACACATAGACATGATTTGAAAAGTAAAGAAGCTCACCATTTCATATATTGTATTAAGAAATTCAAACACACATATACATACCATCATCCCAACAACACATCCATCAAAGTAGGATCGTTCTCTCGATCCACCATGGCGAATAAGCTCGGCAACCAGGAATTTATGAGTAGCATCTCCCCATGCGTACTCAGAAATTCGACTCACATCCTCTACGTAAGGGTAGAGAAACCTGGGGATGGAATAACTCGAACAAGGGAACAAAATGCAACTAAAAACAAACAACTATACATCCTGATGAAGTCGTATACGCGACCTTCATCAATAGCAAACTTTTCTAACAACTCTACAACATGGTTTCTTCTCAACAGTTTATTACCTACTCGACCCCAGCCGTCGAATAAGGCTTTCGACTCTAAATTAAGGTCTAAGTCTATGCTTAGACCACCCTGTCGAAGCCCATTCGTTACACAAAACTTGGCGGGGTCAAAATTAAGAGACACATTATCACCTACCACAAAGACATTCACATCTGCCTTGTATGTGCTAATTAAGGCCTCCACTCTACTATGTAACACCGCTATATCAGGCATATTTAAAATAAAATAAAATGGACTCTTTTGAAGAGCCTGCTTGTGCCGGTCAGAAAGCACGGCAACTGTCCTGTCCATTATATCTCTAAAGAACGAAGGGACACATCGACATCTTAATTCTGCCCTATCACAACAAATAAACCAAACAAAAGTTTCAAACAACAGAAACAAAATAGCACCATTTCAACCAAACCAAACAACACCATTTCAACCAAACCAACAACACCATTTCAACCAAACCAGCAGCACCATTAAAGAACAAATTAGCAACACAATTAAAGAACAAAATAGCAACACAGTCACTAAACAATTCATACAAAATTAAAAAAAAAATAATAAAATTCAGAACATGCTTAACTAATTGAGCTCTAATTAATACAAATTAGGATGATGCTTAACTAATTTAGCCCTACTTGAGCCATAATTCATATAAACCCTACACATGCAAAGAGCTGTAATTTATAATAAAATTCTTAATTGTTGAAAAAAAATCAAATTCAAAGTTCATTAGCATCAACCAAATCCCAAATTTTGCAAAATTTTCGAATTCAAAAAAATATGCAAATTTTTCAAAAAAATCCCCAAATTTCGAATTCAAGAAAAAATTTAAAACTGTTGAAAAAAATCCCCAAAATCTTACCTTGCTTATTGTTATAGACCCTAATTTCGAATTCAAGCCTTAAATTGAAAAAAACCCTAATTTTTAAATTCAACCCCTAAATTGAAAAAAATCCTAAAATTAGAAACAAGGCCCAAAAAATCAGAAATTACCTTTGAGCTTGATGATGCCTTCGTGGGTGTAGAGGAGGACGATTTGTATGGAGATTTCTTTTTGGAGCCGGCCATTTCTTCACAGAGATGCGAACGGCGAGTGACAGAGAGAGAGCGGGCGATGGTGATGAACGAACAGAGAGAGAGAAAGCAGAAAGCCACTGGCGACAGTGACGAACGAACGGAGAGAGTGAGAGCAGAGTTGGCGACGAAAATTCGAAGAGAGAGAGAGAGCAGATTTCAATGGAAGATAGAGAGAGAGAAGAGAACGGTGAGAGAGAGAGAAAGACTTCAAAATGAATTCAGGAAAAAATAAATGAATAATAAAAAGCCTATTTTATATATGGGGAGTGAAATGGAAAGAGCAAATTAGGGGTGGAGAGTACAGAGAAAAAAAATTAGAGGGAGAATTGAATTGGAAGTTGAAAGTGGGAGGGAGATTTATCTTGAAATTTCCCAAAAAAAAAAAAGCACCATTCATCTCTTTTACTTTTCCTCTCCATCCGATTGTTTTTGCCCCAATTTTTCAAATTACGCTTCTGCAATCTTTATCCCGCCTTGAGCCGATCGTCTTCTTCGTGCTCTCCGGTGCAACTACCTGTCCCTTCGTCACCGATCCGGTTTAACATGGGTAAGTATATCTCTTTTATATCATCTCCTTTGTTTATTGTTTATCTCAATTCATCTTCTTTCACGCTTCAAATATTCCGACCACCGCCTTGTGCGAGATTCTGGTCGTTTAATTCGAATTCTTCGGCCGCTTGATCCGCCGCTTGTGATTTTTGGACCTTTGTGCTTGTTGTCTTGATTTCGTGTGTTACTTGGCTGTTGCTGTTCAAATTTCATTTTTCTTTTTTTTTTTTTATACGCAATCCATATGCTTCTTTAATTCGGCAGTCATATCTCTCACGGCATCCGTATTCTTCAATCTTCGCCCAACCTGTCATGTTATTTGTGTAATCCCCTTCGCACATGTTTTCTTTATTTGGCCGGTAATCAAAATCCTGTTCTGATATATGATTTTCGTGTGTACCGCTTTTATTTGTTTGTTTTTTGTTTTTTCGTCTGCTGCTTGTAATCTTCTCCGGCTTCCCTGCTCGTTACCCTAACTCGCGCACTGTTATTCCATTATTAAAATTCCCCAGTTTTTGTTGCTCGATAACGGCCATATTTGCCTATTATCGCAATTTTCCATTTCGATCGACATGCTTATGTGGGACCTTTGCTTGTTTGTTTTGTGTTTTGTTGTTTTTTTTTAGATTCCGAGCCACTCGATGTTGTAACCGTGTCCTCGGCCTCCGAGCACTCCGAACCTAGCTCGAGCTCTTTTGATGAAGAGCTCGTTGCTCACCCCGACACACCTATGGTAGACGAAGTTGAGAGGTCCGTCTTCCAACTTTGTGATGAAGCCGAAGGAGATGTCCCATTGGACTCTCTAACCCCCTATAGTAGACGATAGCTCACTTAACCTAGTTTACGGCCCTCCACGAGCCATTCCTTTAGCCGCTTCGGACATAAGGGCTCGGCAAGCTAATGTAATTGTGGGTACCGAGCTCCCCATGTGTCCAACCATAGAGTTAGCCTCCAATGCCACATTGGTTTCCCGGCCCAACCCTTTCTTTCACACCGACGAGCTCAAAATCAAGGCTTTTATGCGTTTGTGTGAGCTCCCCCCAGATTGAGTATTCCAAGCACCTTCTCTGGGCAGCTCGTACAATCGACCCCCCTGCGGGTTCTATACATTTTTTGTCGGTTTCCCATACGCCCCGACCTGCTCGCTTTAGCCGATCTGTATGAATTTCCTATTAATCAGCTCGCCCCTAACAGTATCCGCATATTGGTGGGCTACACCATACTTAGCCACCACAATTTCAAAAAATTAGATCCCGGGTTCTTTTTTTACTGTTTTAGCCTAAAAAAGCATCAAAACGGGCCGTTTTATCTTAGTGCTCGCAACCAAGCTAATTACCTTAGAGAACATAACTCTAAGATCAACCATTGGAAAACCCGCTACTTTTTCCTTAAACCACCTCAAGACACTTTTACCTTTAGCTCGGAGTGGCTCACCCCTGCCTCCGACCAAATTCGACCCAAGAAATTAGCTAGGTTGAGCGAGCTCGTGGTTGAGTGGAGCAAGGTCCCCTACAACATCGAGAAACTCACAGCACCCCACGAGCTTCGTTCTCTTTATGGGTTAACCTATAAGAAAGAAGGTTGCTCATTTTGACATAGGTATAACTCCTTGCTTGTTTTTTGTTTTGTTTGTACCAAATTATATTGTGCTCGAACATGTTTGCTAACAATCTTATCTTATTTTGCAGAAAAAAATTTGTCCGGTGCTGTCTCCACCAAACCAACCGAGCCCAAGAAACGAGCTCGTGTTGAATCTACCAACGCTAGCTCGGATACCGGCCTCTTGAAGAAGATTTTACTGGGCCCGCGCAAGCGCAAGGCATCAAGTGAAACAGGTGGTTCGTCCCAAAAAACTCCTCTCACTGATCAAGAATGCCCCACGATCCAGCAACCCACCGCATTTGCTACCAACAAAAACCCCTCGGTGCAAGCATCTTATCTGCTCTCCATATTCCCTGGTGATGAGGCCGACCATTCGTCGGGTGACAATAAGCTACGGGCTGAATTTTGCATGAAGCATTTTGCTGCGGTAAGTGTAGCACTTATCACTATTTATTATTTATAATGATTTATATATATATATATGTATATATACTCCTTGCTTAATCGAACTACCATTGCTTGTCATGCTTAGTTCCGGTCTTGCTAGTCTCCTCCACGAAGCTATTGAAGGGGAGCCTCCTTCTGCCGCCGAATATCACAAGCTCAAAAAAGCCTATGATGTTGAAGTTTCAAAAGCTAAGATGCTCGATACTGAGCTTCAAGCAAGCAAGGCTAAAGTAGCTAAGTTGACTGCCTCCAACAAATCCCTAAAGGATGCTAAAGCTTCATTAGTCGCTGCTCATACGGAGGAGATTGAGGGCCTCCGAGCTGATCTCGAAGTCCTTGCCCAAGAAGTTGCCACCAAAGAGGCGGCTGCACGGAATGAAACGCGGGAGGGCTTTCAGAACTCCCCTGATGGAGCTCGGTTTTTGAGCACCTTCCGCAAGGAATTGCTCGATCTTTATCACGACTCCATGGTCTTCCTTAATAAGCTCGGCCCGGCTTCACAACAGTACTTGAGTATAGGTGCGAAGCGGGCTCTGGAACAAGCTCGCATAAGTGGCGATCTGGAAAACTATGATGAGGCTACCCTACTGGTTAATCTTCCCGATCCTGCCGGCTGGGCTGGGGATCCCGAAGAACCACTTGATCATCCATGGTGGGAACCTGCCTTAGAGAAGACTTTGCAGAAATTGAGCACCAAAGTGGAACAGAAAGAGGTTGCTACCGAAGAGCAGGAGCAAGCTGAGCAAGACGGGGAGAGCGACGAAGCACACAAGATCGAGCAAACCACCACCGCCGACCAGAATCCACCTACTTAGCTTGTTGTATTCATGATGTTGTAACGATTATTCGTACTTCCTTTTGATATTGTATTTTATGATGACTTTGCTTTTGGGATATTCATCTTTGGTGTGACATGTTATGAATTCTTTTTATTGAATTTCGAATTCCTGCTAAATAGCTCATTTGTTCAATATATCTCAACGCCAGTATACAACTATCTCCTGCTAGGTAAATTATAAGTAATGAGCTCGGTCATAAACCTTCATCTGCTTGGTTTACCTAGCTTGACTACTTAGCACATGTGCAAGCGTAGCCGGGGTACATGAAACGAGCTCGGTCATATCCGCCCGATTCCCATAGCTTGACTACTCAGCGCAATCTGCTCGGTCATAAACCTTGATCTGCTCGATTTCCATAGCTTGACTACTTAGCACACTGTGCAAGAGTAGCCGAGTGACACGAAACGAGCTCGGTCATCCACCTTAATCAGCTCGGTCATATCTTTTGAGCAGCACCCGAGTTCATCAAGAGCTCGGCCTTAATCCGTCAAACCTTTTGAACAGCACTCGAGTTCCATGAGCTCGGCCTAAAGCCATTACATCACGTTAAACATCACCCGAGCTCCATGAGCTCGGCCTTAAGCCGTTACATCACTTTAAACAGCACCCGAGCTCCGTGAGCTTGGTCTTAAGCCGTTACATCACTTTAAACAGCACCCGAGCTTCATGAACTCGGCCCTAAGCCGTTACACCTTTTGAACAGCACCCGAGCTCCATGAGCTCGGCTTTAAGCCGTTACATCACTTTAAACAGCACCCGAGCTCCATGAGCTCGGCCTTAAGCCGTTACATCACTTTAAACAGCACCCGAGCTCCGTGAGCTCGGCCTTAAGCCGTTACATCACTTTAAACAGCACCCGGGCTTCATGAGCTCGGCCCTAAGCCGTTACACCTTTTGAACAACATCCGAGCTCCATGAGCTCGGCTTTAAGCCGTTACATCACTTTAAACAGCACCCGAGCTCCATGAGCTCGGCCTTAAGCCGTTACATCACTTTAAACAGCACCCGAGCTCCGTGAGCTCGGCCTTAAGCCGTTACATCACTTTAAACAGCACCCGAGCTTCATGAGCTCAGCCTTAAGCCGTTACACCACATCACCGCATTACAAGCTGTTTTCACTTAGTAAAAAGAAAAATTTGCTCAAAAAATTCTTCTCAAAGCAAAAACACGCCAATCCACACTTAGCTCATTCAACAACTCAGAACAAAAATATTGCATAAACAACTTCAAAATTTCTATTGAATAAACAACTTCAACATTTCCATTGCATAAAATCAACAACTAAAACTCCAATATTCAATAAACAACCTTAAAGTTTTCATTGATTCAATAGCCAAATCATAAGGTTTTCAAAAAGCCTCTCAAGATTACAATCAAACTAGCAGTAATACTTCTTGAGATTTGCAATATTCCAAGGTCTAGGGAAGACCTTACCATCTGGATCCTTCAGCTCATAAGCTCCTCCAGCAAACACCCTCTGAACAATGTATGGTCCTTTCCAGTTGGGTTCTAATTTGCCCACATGCTTCAGCACATCAGCTCTTCTCCAAACAAGATCACCCACCTGGAATTGCCTCTTCTTTACTTTCTTGGAATGAGATGCACACATCTTCTGCTTGTACTGTAATGTCTTCAACCAAGCTTGATCTCGTGTCTCATCAACCAGTTCAAGGGCTTCTTTGACCAGCTCCTCATTCTGCCCTGCCTCGAAAGCAGTTTTTCCTCTGTGAGCTAAGACCAATCTCCACTGGGATCACAACATCCATCCCATATACCAAGCTAAATGGTGTTTCTCCGGTTGTTGCCATTGGGGTGGTCCGATAGGACCAAAGCACAGTATCGAGCTCATCCACCCATCCATCTGAAGCTTGGCCTAAAGGAGTCTGCAGCGCCCTCAGGATAGTTCTGTTGGCTACTTCTGCTTGCCCATTTGCTTGTGGGTGAGCTACTGATGCAAAGTGCTGCTTGATGCCCATTTCCTCGCACCAAGCCATTATCTTCTTTCCCCGAAATTGTGGGCCATTATCAGAGACTATAACCCGCGAGATGCCATACCTGCAACAGATGTTAGTGAATAAAAATTTGATCACTTTCTCTTCAGTTATCTTTGCCATTGCTTCAGCTTCCACCCACTTGCTGAAGTAATCCACCACAACCAGCAAGAACTTCCTTTGTCCAGAACCTTGTGGAAAAGGCCTTACTATGTCCATCACCCACTGAGCAAACGGCAAGGGTGAACTCATTGGCATCAACTCCTCCGCAGGCACATGTATGAGCTGCCCATGTTGTTGGCAATTAAGACACTTCTGGACCAATTCCTTCACCATTGCTTTCATTGTTGGCAAAAAATAACCGGCCGTTAACACTTTGCCCACTAAAGCGCACGCCTTAATGTGATCTCTGCAACAACCCTCGTGCACCTCCCTTAGCACATATTCACTCTACTCCTCGGAAACACACCTTAGATGAGGTCCAAAGTAAGACCTCCTGAAAAGCACACCCTCCTAAACAAAGAACCTCAGTGCAACACCCCGCTAACTAGGGCCAATTTTAACTCTTTCGAAAACGCTTATAAATTTTTCGAAATCATTTGCAAACTATCTCGGGATGCTGCTAAGGACTTTTCTGCTTAAAAACCCGTTTCTTTAACCTAGGTCTAACAACTGGTTTAGACTTAAAGAATTCAGGTTTATATTTTTACGAATCATGCATATTAGTCTGGACCCGTTCGTACTGGCGAACCGGGTAAAATTATTTAAGTCTGAAAATAGCATCATGCATGTTCGAAAATAAACACAAGCATAGCGGAAGTCTGAAATGCGTGGAATTATTTAGTTTACAAACAGTTTAAACAAATGTCCCGGGAACAGCTTTCGT